TATTTATATTATTATTGACACTAATTTTATTTAATACTTTAAAACTCGTGAAAATCACAAAGCTTTACTAATCTTTTGCACCAAAAACCCAATACCTACTTACCCTTCGCCAACCCTCACCTCACCTAACCCCCACCCACATCCCCATCCCCCGCCCACACTGAGCAAAACTCTCAACAGTCCCACTGGATTTTGCAGCTCTAATGTAATTTGCTGGTATGATCTCATTCATGGCGTTCATTTCATTTGTTACTATATTAGATCACTCACGCCATATAATTTGGGTTTTGATTTCTGTTTCTACTGTCTGTGTTTATGGTGTTTTTCTGAATGATTCAATTTTTTCTCTCATCTGGTGTGGGTTAGTTGATGGGGGTTGCTTTAATCTTGTTCTAAAGTTTGAAAGATGTTTATTAATATTGGAGAATGTGAATATCATATCATAGTAAAGGCTGATCAAGAATGTCATTTCTTAAGTTCTCCTGTCATGATTCAACCATTTATGGAACAGTGAAAAGGAAACTGTTGAAACCCATGATTCTGGTTAGTTCTCCGAAAACTTACATAGTTAGAACTATCCGGAATCCGTTCTGTTTTGTTTTCGAGATAGAACTAGATATTTGGTCACTGGACCAACTGAAGTACATGGAATGCCTTTGCTTTTGAATTCCATCGTTTTATGTGTTTTATTTATTGACAATAGTACATTGATCTCCAGGAAATCTGGGATATATTGTAGGGAGAGAGAGCCTGAAATGATTGGTTCGTTTCGTGCATGCTGTTCACCGATATTATCGAGGACTGGCAATTTCATTAACAAAAGCTCATCTTGCAAATATATATTGCCTTTGTCTAGAACACGCTTTCAACATCTGGGTGATAGAACAGTCAATTTGGAGTTACTGCTGACGAAGTCTCTGTTTCGGCGCTATTCATCAAAAAGGTCTAGTGGAGTTGGTTCCCGCAAGCGGAAGCTTGATATCAAACCAGTAATGAAGGACGATAAGGAAGCATTTTTTGTTGTTCGCAAAGGTGACCTCGTGGGTGTTTACAAAAGCTTAAGCGATTGTCAAGCTCAAGTTGGAACCTCGGTAATCCTGTGTTCTCTATATTTTGATGTGAATTTACCGTATTCTCCTTTTTTGCCCTCATCTTGTAGGACATTGGTGATTCTTAAAACCTTGCGATCATTGAGTTTTTCGTAACTGACTTTTCTGTGCGTGTTTTTTTAAAATTCAAGTAGATGTTGGAAATTACACCATCATTTGTTTACTTATGTAAATATTTTGTAGTTTTTTGGGTGTTCATATTTTTCTGAATAGGTTTTCAGGATGCACTCTTAATTGTTTAACGTTTGCTCTATCTATTATTTCTCATACTACTACAACCTAATTTTCAGAAGGTTAGACCACTGTTTTAGTAATTGCACTTGAGTTCCACTAATTACTATATTTTATTGAAAATATTTGAACAAATATTTTCCTTTAAAAGATAGTACAATGAACCTATTAACTAAGTTGAATAAATCCCAACTTGCTAATCAGATGCCATTGATTCTCAACCAATGGAATGTTGTCGAATATTTTATCAAAAGTATTTAAAATAAAAATAAATAAGTCCACATGAGAATCTCTCTGGAGGACTGTCTGGTGTGTTTTCACAGAATTAGGAATGTTAGTGGGCATCAATTAGAAAAGCGTCTAGTTACATACAACCTCATGAAGTTTATTACATAATTGCTGTTCCTGAATAATCACAGTTTTCAGTCTGTATCTTGTTTGGTTGCTTGACTATCATGCACATTTACATTTTTTTTAGTTTCGTCCTTCTTTTCACTTCTTATCTCTCTGAAGTGAAAACGAGTATGCCACTGCTACTTAGTATAACGAGTTTTCTTATTGACTTCTCTCAGTAACTCATATTGTAATTTAGATAACATATCTGTCTTGCGTGTATGTGTGTATTACCTAGGGACTCGTACAAGCTATTATGTTGGAGACCTATTCAGATCTTATATCTCAGTGATATATAGTTGTAGTTTGCTGTGTATTCATGAAATTGCACTTGCTCTTTTTATTTCCCGGCAGATATGTGACCCCCCAGTCAGTGTGTACAAAGGTCAAGCCATGCCAAAGGACACAGAGAAGTATCTCATGTCTTGTGGACTCAAGAATGCACTTTATTCCATCAGAGCTTCTGAACTTACTGAACATTTTTTTGGCCCTCTTGTACCTTGCCATTTCCAGGTCCATGTATATGTGCACTAACTTTGTGTCTTTCTTTTTTCTTCGTGCAACTTGTAATCTGGTTTTTCTCCTTTATTGCAGTCTAGACGAGTCCCCCTGTATAAAGTTTGTCGAAAGTGTAATAAATGTAACTATAATTTGTGGTGAACATGAATTGTACTTTTTTTTAAATTCATTTTCTACGAATATAGTGAGATTTGACTAAAAGGTATCATATTATATGGGCTGTAAAGTTCAATAATGGGCAAAACCTATGTTGCCCTGCAGCTGACGAAGTTAAAATTAAAATATGATGCTTAAACTCTGTATTATCCAAAATACTGAATATTGATTAGCATCTGAATTTTCATACTGCAGCCTTCTTCTAGAGGGGAAACATCTGCCGAGCCAATAACCAAGAAGAGGCCGCAGGAAGCTTTGTGGTCAGACTATGGGGTGAGTGAGATCATTAACTAATCCCTGCTTCAAGATTAGCTGTGACATAAAGCTACACAGAAAGACTATTTCGAATATTTTGTTTTAATTTTATTTTGTAAGGTGTTAAGGCAGAGATCCTGGAGTTTATAATGCCCACAGTTCTACATATGCAATTCAGATAGAATGAGAATATCTGCAGTTAGAATCAAATGAAGAGTGCAAACCATCCTGTTCCTTCTGTTAAATAATTTGTATTAATATATATCTTCTTAAGGTTGGTATGAGGACTTGACGTTTTGAAGATTCTTAACAAAGAATATATAGTGGCATGAGGTGATGAAAAACGAATTAATTTATTTTTCAGCTTTTCTGGGAAAATATATTAAACAATAATATTAATTGTATCGGATGTTGTCTATATATTTTTTCCCAGTTGTCTCACATGGATTGACAGGCCGCAGAATTTCAAATAAAAATAGCACCTCACATAAGAATTCTCATTGAAGGAAAAATGTGAAGTGAGACAAGTTAATGTTGACTATATATTATTTCGAGGTTTATTAGAGTCCGCGGCAACTTGCTGTAATTCCTGCTGTTTTCTATGATTTTCCTTAGAAAAAATTGTGTTTTGGATAAATTGATTTGAATTTGTTACTGTTGGTTTTATCTACACTTATGACTTTTGTACATTGCAGGAGGCAGCTGAACCTACGTTGTCTTCAAATGATGCTTTACCAAAGCATTTCAAATTAGAACCTCATAGAGGAGTTGACCAGAATCAACCAGTTTGTGTGAGTAGTTCATGGTTGGACATCTTTTAGATCTATACTTTTCTATTATTTCAAAATAAGATGAAAAAAAATTAGAACTTGTAACGAAACAAAATCATCGCATAATCCAAGTTGAATCCAAAAAAATAAAATAAATAAAATAAATAAATAAATAAATAACTATTACTCAAATCCCTGAAATCGAAAAGCACCATTTATTGATATCTTGGTGTTTTTCGATACAGAAAGTTTTATATTTTTCATTTTTTAAATGACAAATTCTACTTTCAATGCTAAGGCGATTCTTGTAATTATTAACAGCGGTCCTGTACTATCGAGTTTGATGGTGCTTCAAAAGGAAACCCAGGACAAGCTGGGGCAGGTGCTGTACTAAGATCCGATGACGGAAATTATGTGAGTGTAATGTTTTCTTCAGAGATTGTGGATCATTTTTGTTTTTATATATATTCTTTTCCAGCTATGACATATATAAAGTGGTAAATTTTTTGTACATTAGATTTGTAGATTGCGGGAAGGCTTAGGCATTGCCACAAACAATTTTGCAGAATACCGTGGGTTTATACTAGGGTTGAAATATGCACTTCGGGAAGGGTTCTCGAGCGTTCGAGTTCGAGGTGATTCCAAACTCGTTTGCATGCAGGTATCATTCATTTGAAACCATATTTCATTCTCTTGCAATTCTAATACCTCACTTGAATATGGGAAAATTAATGAATGAAACCAAGATAAATCTAACAATTTCGTGGAATGATGAAAAAAGTGTTGTTTCTAAGTGTCATTTTTAATATAATTAATGAATTAAGTGTAATATTGGTTCTTAAGTGTGCCTTGTGTTTTGTCAATTTTAGGAGTCTTAATGAGAAGCAATTTTTAATGGACAGATTCAGGGATTATGGAGGGTTAAAAACCAAAATATCTCAAGCTTGTACGAGGAGGCAAGGAAATTGAAGGATATGTTTGGTTCTTTTCAAATTATTCATGTTCTAAGGGTAAGGTTTGAAGCAGGATGGTCCTTTTTCTCAGCTTATCTCAAAATTATTATACCTTGCACTTAATCTACAATAAACTTGACAGTCTTCGAAACAGTCCGACTAGTCTTCATGCCTCCTAATTAGCAGACACAATAGTAAATCTTTCATATTTTCGAATACTCCAATGAATGCCGTTAAAGTTTTAATCTGTCTAATAGAAACGGCGTTTAAGTTGTTATTCAGATAAAGGATAGAAAGTTGGTATTCAAAAATTTGACTGACGGCTATGGTTTTTCTTTTTCTTTTGGAGTTCGGACTAAAATCAAGTTTTTCTTTTTTCATCTCTCTCTCTCTCTCTCTCTCTCTCTCTCTCTCTCTCTCTCTCTCTCTCTCTCTTTATATATATATATATATGAAGGACCTGAATTCAGAGGCTGATGCCCTTGCTAACTTGGCCGTGGAGCTCGCGGGTAAAAGTTGCATCACTTTGGACAATTCTTCATTATTTACTAAAGCTATCTATCTCTATTTGTTTCATTTTTGGTCTCTTTTGTGATTTTTCAGAGGGACAAGTTCAAGAGCAGATTGATAAATAGCTTTGTAGTCCGAGACAAATGGCTAATTATGATGCATTAAAGTATATATACATATTAATTGCTACCGGCCTTTCATCTTTAACCCCTTCGACTCAAAATTGAACAGTCTAGCTATTGGCAACGGTGATTGAAGAGGATTTACTTCTGTTGAGTTTGTTGTTTCTTTTTCTCTGGATTTATCCGATTTCAGTATGCGGATGGTATTCATAATCCTGCAATTTCGAGTGGCTATTTAGTTCAAATCCCCTGTAAAGAAGCACAGACATGATTATGAATGTTGGAAGTATTTTGGCCGATTAAGAATAGTAGTATCGAGGAGAGGAAAGGTGGAGCAAATGTTTTGAATTCCTCGAATTTATAGAACGGAATATATATGTTTAACATTTTGAGCCTTTTTTAGTATTATTATCAGTCATATTTTTCTGGGTGGCTACTGGGAACATCAAGTGTCTACTATATTTACTTGTTTGATAAATTGGCTTATAGTCTGACCAAGATGTCTTGTATTTGGCTCAGTGTTTGTAACCATGTATATCATCTTAAAGATCATTCTTTCTATATCACTTGTGATGATGGGAATGAAGCAATTTTATTGTGGGCTGATTCTCTAGGCTATGTGCTTGCCTACTGGATCAATATTCCTTCCAAGTTGTGAGAGAATTCCGTTACGAAAAAAAGTCTCGAATTTCTTCGTTGATGGGGCTCGACGTTTCACGACTGATTTCATGGTCCTTCGGTATGTCTTTTTGTTGCTTTTATAATGAACCTGGATCTTGATGATCTTTTTATTTAATGTCCTATGCTTGAATAAGTTTGAGATTGTTATAAAATGCGAGGAATATAAAAAACACAATGTAAAAATTGGATATAAATCACAAGATGCTATTTTCTCTCTTTTTCGTACAAATGTTACAGCTCTTTTGGTCAAACTTTAAGACCCCAATAATGCATTGACACACAATTCAATGCTTATTTTAATACAATAATTCAAATGATAAGTTTATCATTAGTGGTAAATTCCACTTATTTATAATACTCTCCCTTGGAATTACTACTATTAACTGTGCGTTTATGCTGTCTCGTTAAAAACCTTATCTGGAAAAACCCTGTGGGAAAAAAATTGAGATAAGGAAAAAAGAGTACAGTCGCACATACTCCCCCTCGAGTTATCATCTGTGCAAATCCCGAAGATGTCTCACTCCAATATTGTGTACGTGCTTTCGAAACATTGTTGTCGGAAGCGCATTCGTAAACAAATCTGCTGCATTATCGCTTCATCAAATATGTTGAACTTTGATTTGTTTGTTTCTTTCAAGCTCCTGCGCATATGAGAAGAACTTTGGCGGGATATGTTTAGTTCTGTCACTCTTAATGTATCCTTCTTTGGTTTGAGCGACACATGCTGCATTGTCTTCGTATATCACCGTCGGGTCATTATTGTTCGATAGTCCACTGATTTGTTGAATATGTTGAGTCATGTTTCTGAGCCAGATGCTTTCCCTAGTTGCTTCATGAAGTGCAATGATCTCAGCATGGTTTGAAGACGTCGCAACTAACGTTTGTTTCTGGGAGCGCCAAGAGAATGCAGTTCCACCAATCGTGAAAACATAACCAGTTTGAGATCTTGCTTTATGGGGGCCTGATAGATATCCTGCATCTGCAAAACCGATTATTTCATGTTTTTTATCATTAGAGTAAAACAATCCCAAATCGATTGTCCCTTGACGATAACAGAATATATGCTTGATTCCATTCCAATGTCTCCTCGTAGGTGCCGAGTTATATCTATATATATATAATTGCTAGCTAATCCTCCCTATATATAATTCCCGAATGCGCTGAACCTACGTGGCTGCTTCTGGTGCTTCGGAATCCTACTTGGCGAAGAATCATGCTTCGCAATTAGGTTTGGACAAATAATATTGATATATTAATAATTAATAATCTAGGTTTGGACATTACATAAATATTATTTAGCTAACTTAGGTATTTTAATATCATTGTACTAATATAACCCTTTAATTCCGTGTAATTTTACATAGTGAGACACTAAGTGACTAATATATCCCTGACTTTTGATTTGTTTCCTTCAATTAGCTATTGAATTGTAAATATATTTTAAAAGTTGATAACTTTTGTATTTCTTGTCGGTTTTACATATATAATATATCAAATTAATCATCTTTTGATGATCTTCGATTTGACATCCATATTGTATATATTGAGATAAATAAATTATATTTATATTTATAATGATAAAAAATAACCATAT